GATTAAAAAAGCAGCCCATGTGGGTGCCGGACCAGCCCGTTCCGCACCTCCATAGCTCCTACCAGTCTCAGTGTGCTTTCTTCTTCTCTAGTTGTAGGACTTCCATTCAGCCAGCTTTCCAGTGGTTCTGGATGATGGTTGTTCTGTATTTTAGTTGTAATTTTGATGTGGTTGTGGCAGCATTTATCTATGCCACCATCTTCCTTTCTTAGGTATATGTTTTCCAAAAATCTTTATCATTGAAATTTTAATAGGAAAAATAAAACATTAACAAGTTCTTCAATAGTTGGAAATTTTACATTCTTTTATTTTTAAATTTATATTTCTACATTTCTTCCATTGAATTGTATATTTTATGCTCAAAAGTCTTATATAGGCCATTCTATCATACAGTAACTATACATTTTTAAATGCCCTGTGACCAATAAGATTGTAAGTATTGAAAAATTTCCTCAGGATTGAATTTTTATTATAATTGTTTTAGTACACAGTTATTCAAAGCAGCATGAATATATTATCATTTTTTGATATTCATTAACCAGTTACCAAGTACCAAGTAAATTTTATTGTAAATGTATATATTAATGGTATAGCTTGAAGGGGGCACTTAAAATTTTCTCTCTCTTATAAACTGACAAAATAGATACTTTACAAGGGCAAACTCTAATCGGTACAGGCAGCTTCTTGGACAGATGCATTTTAGGAACAGATATATATATCTGGAATTTGACTTGCGTTAAACTGTCCATATGTGCATGCCCCTTGGAAAGTCTCCAGGTCCTGGTTGTTATTGGTACTTAGCACCCCAATTTGAAGTCTATCAAGCCTCTCTTCTTAATAGCTGACACCTGGTACCCACTGTGTGCTTACCACATCAACTGTATGAAGGAGCTATTCTTGTTAACCTCTTTATACAGATGAAGAAACTAATGCACAAAGAGACTATATGACTTGTCCAAGTGTCACAGCTAGTAAGTGGACAGGAACATGGTGGTTCCAGAATCCAGGCTCCTAACCACTGTGTACTTGAATGCCTTTTTTAAAAAATGGTGAAAGAGCAGATCTAGCCATAGCCATGAGAGTAGAGCTTATCTTCATGTAAATTATTAAGAGAAGGGAAGTAAAGAAAAACAGTGTTTTTCCACTGTGGTAGTGAATAGACTATGCATGAGTTAATAAAGCACCAGGCAGTGCCTTTTTCTCTAGAAGGTATGTTCTGCTAGAGTATCATAGTATTTAGTGTCAGTCAAGTTAAAATTAACACTTTTTATTTCTTTAATTTCTATTTAACAGTAGTTCTCATTTAATTAGTAATGTGCAGGAATATTATCTGGAAACCTATTGTATTCTGCATATTCTGCTTAACCTGTTAACATGTTCTACTTTTAGTGAAGATGACAATGTTTTTATGGTAATATTATAGAAGACATACTGCATTTAATTATGGTAATGATTTCACACTTATGTAGATCGTTCCACCTAAATGCACCCTAAAACCGTTTTACATGAAAAAAGAAAACAAAAACCAAAAAACTATACCCATCACTAAAATGATTACCTCCTTTAGTGACGATTAGGGTTGTTGTCATGCATAAGTAAAAATTAAAAATATTGCTCTATATCAAGAGATATCTTTGAATAGTTCTGAGAAAATTTTATTTTTGGATTTTAAATAATTGGATTCTATAATAAACACACCAGGACATTCAAGGGATTTCGCTCTTTAAGGTGATTTACTCTCTAATCATATAATTTTGCCTTGCTATACACAGCTAGATTTTTCACTTATAAGCATTCCCCAATTAGGAAGGACATGACCTTTGAAAGAATTGAACAGGCAGTGGTTGTTATGGAAGCCTGAGAAGAGAACCTCAGACCTCCTATTGTGAGAAGCTTGAAAGGGAGAGAAAGTGTGAAGGCCAACAGCCCTATGGTCTCCAGTTGGAATACCAGAGCAGTGCTGGGTAGGGAAAAGTACTTCTCTTATTAAACTATGTAGAGAGAACATATCTATGAAACTTGTGTTATTTTGACATAGATTCAGATTCATCTAGCAGTTTTTCAATATCTACCATGTGCCAAACACTGTACCAAATGCTTTCACTTTCACCAGTTTATTTAATCCTCATAACCATGAGGATAACCCAGTTTTACAAATGAAAGAACTGAAGCTCAGAAAGGTTATAATACCCACGGTTAAATAACTAGTAAGTGGCAGAGAAAGACATTTTCTTCTTACATGCTGTAGGTCTGAAAGCCTCCATTATCCGTGTGAGTATAAATATAGTTCTTAGCAGCAAGTCTAGCATCATAGTTTTTGAGCTCCCAGTGTAAATTATCTAAGAACTATAGGAGTTAATCACAGTTCAAAAGGGAAATCCTCCAGATGCCTGCTTCCAAATGAGAAAGAGCCCTGGCAGTGGTCGGTGTGTCTGTTGATGCTGCTGGTGTTGTTAGTGTTGCTATAGGTTCTTGCTGACCCACATCATCACTGATGATCCCTTTGCATTCATCATCTGACTGGCTCTACGGGTCTGTGCTTAAGGAAAGTCTTTATGGCTCCAGTTCTTAGCTCCCCTACATTTGATCTTTGAAAGGGGAATATTAGGGTTCTACACAGAAATGGAATATGACAGAGAGAGAGAGAGAGAGAGAGAGAGAGAGAGAGAGAGAGAGAGAGAGAGAGAGAGATTTACTTTAAGGTATTAGCTCATTTGATTGTGGAATATTGGTAAGCTCCAAATTACTGAACTCTCATTAAATTTCAATTCCTAGGCATCCTAGTGTTCATCCAATTTCCTTGCTCCAAGCCAATACCATATATTTTAGATTCTTGAAAGCAACATAGTTCAAGGGATATCAGGAGTTTCCAGATTAGGTTTTACTGCACACAACAAAGATCCAAATTAACGTTGTTTTGAATAAGTCACAAGTTGATTTCTCATGTAAAAGTCTGAAGGCAGGTAGTCCAGGGTTCATATAGTGCTCTGTGTTTTTAGAGATTCAGACTCCTTCTGTCCTCCTTGGGGCATGGCTTTCATTCCCAGCATCATATCAAAATTAAAGATGACCATCTAGTGCCCACCTCCATATCTTCATTCTAGGTAGCAGAAATGAGGGAAAAGCAAAGCAAACTCTTTGCATGGATCATGTCCACTAATATTTCATTGGCCAGACTTGTTCATATGCCCCTACCTGGCTGCAAGGAAGACCAGAAAATAGTCTTTATTTTGGGCAGCCAGATATGCCTCAGTTAAAAATCAGGGATTCCAGTATCATAGAAGGAAGGAAGGAATGGATATTGGCAGCCAGTTGGCAGTCTCTACCACGAAGAATTTATACAAATATTAGAAGATGTTAATTTATGGACAAATCAGGACATTGAAATGCAGTTATTTTGATATATTTGATGTGTTCTTAACAAAGCAGCCAAAATTATCTTTTTAAAAACGTTTTATATTACTCTCCTGCTCCGAACACACTATGGGCTCTCTAATTCACTCAAAATTCAAACAGTGTCTGGCAAGGACTCATGTCATCTCTACCCTCTCTCTCCGTGGCCTTTCTACCCGCATCCCAACTACATTCTCTTATTCATCCATGCTCACTACTCCTCACACCTGCAGGATATACTTACCGTAGAGCCTTCTCACTCCTGGATATTGTAAGGCTACCTCCTTACCTCTTTTATGTCTTTGTGTAGATATTACCGCCTCAATTGGGCCTATGCTGACAAACCTATTTAAAATTGCAATTCCCTCCACCCCCATACTCCCAGTCTACCTTCCTTGATCAATTTTTTTTCCATAGCATTATCACCTAATATCTTGACAACTTACTTATTTCTTGTATCTATTACTTACCATCTGCCTACCCTAGAATGTAAGTTCCAAAAAGGGACTTTTTTTTTTTTTTTTTTTGCTTTGTTCACTAAAAAATTCTAAGTGCCTGAACAAGCCAACGACATTGTAGGTGCTCAATAAATGATCTGTGGATGAATGGATGCTTTTATCTCAGAATGACAGTTAAAAGGTAGAAGTATATATTTTATTACTTTACAAGTTATTTCCTTCCCTTAGTATTGGTATGTCATGCAACTTTGGGACTCCAGAGATGAGATTTTGTAGCCATGTTTACCAGCATTGTGAGTGGCTGATTATACCTTGAAAAGGAACCTATAACTTTCTTTGGTATCATTTCCTATGGGCATATTGTTTTGGTCTTAAGAAATTTTAGGTTGTCTGTGGTGTGTGTTACTTAAGATTTCTAGGTTGCAAATAAGAGAATTCCAATCTCTAGCTTAAGAAAAAAAAATTTTGGCTTATGTACACAGTAAACTTAAGAGATGTGGTTGTTTTTAGGAATGCCATCCTAAAAATGCCATCAGGAATCTCTCTCACTTCTTATTCTCTCTCCATCTCTCACTTTTGCTTTCATCTGCTTTGGCTTCATATATTGTTCTTAAAGCTAGCATTCCAAGAGAACAGAGCACTACTTTGTTTTCTTCATTGAGACTCTGAGGTAGCAATTGCTGTGTCTGGAGAAGGCATGTTGGCCAGCCTTGGGCACACTCCTCTGCTTGGGAAGCAAAGCTACATAATATACAGTTCCATGAGAATCAGGAGGAAGGTAGCTTTCAAAGAGGAAAGGATGAAGACAGACAAAAAAATGTATTGTACTGCACTTTTCAGTAACATATTCCTCATGTTAAGTTTGTTTGTATAATAAGCGATTTTCTAACAAACAAAAATTAAAATACTTTGCAACCAATTATCATTTTTTCCTTAAGTAGGATTATACCGAATGACTTAGATCTATAATTTTGTCTTTCTTGGGTTCTCATCTCTGTTCATTCCTAACCAGATTTCACATTTAGCAACTGTTGCATAGCCTAGAACATAATTAGAAGTAAATTGTGATTAATGCCCAGCCTCAATTTATAACCCTGGAGGATTTTACAATTTAAATTGAATAACGTTCTTCCTTATTCTTAGCTGAAAATGGCAAAAATAGAAACAGAAGATCACAGAACAGCACTTTCTCAGCCTTCTTCATCATCCTTGACTAAAGCCATGAAGGAATCACAGCAAAGCAACTCTGAAGGCACTTTCAATGGGGATAGCTTTCACTCCATTGACAAATATAGTTCAAATTATTTACCAAGGTAAGAATATTATTTCAGCAGCTTAAACTGAATTCTGAAGGGGATAAAAAGTACTTCTAGAGTATTGTCTTTGTAAATGCTCAAGATTTACAAAGATTATAGAGATTATGATGTCAGTAATAAGTTTGAGATGTGATGGGCTATGAAGATTGTTGCCTGGGTTAAAGTCCTTCAAGTTTTTTCTGTTTTGGGGGAAGTAAAAGATAGTTGATGCAATTACCAACACATATTATCACAGGAGTCTGACTAGGACAGGTAGCATAATGATAATAACAATAATGGCAGAGAAGATAAGATTTACTATGTGCTAGTTAAGTTGAATTATACCTATTTAGTTTTCAAAACAACCCTGGGAGGAATGTAAGACAGATAATATTTTAAACATCTCCATTTTACCTGTGAGGAAATGAAGACCTAGACAAGTTAGTTAACTTAGCCAAGATTACACAGCTGGTAAGTAGAGAAGGTACTTCTCTACTTGAATCCATACCGATCTAAGTCCACAGCCAGAGCTCTTAACTATTACTATATATTCTACCACACTTCCCAGAAATATAAAGCAGAGGAGACACAAGTATTTTTCCTTTGTTTTTCTCTATTAGAAAGTTAAAGAGCAAAAAAGTGTTTGTCAGGTATTGATAAACTATGGGTTGGCTAACTGTGATGAAATAGTCTTTATGCTAAACGGAAAACGTGAGCTATAAGAGCATTAAAGAAAATGTTCATAAATTAAGATTATGTTAATCTTATAGAAATGCTAGATCATATATGTATCTTAGAATGGTTTGATTGTTTTTGTGTTTTGTCACTGTTTAGATGAAAATGAAATCTATACTTTCAACTAATTTTGTTTTGCCTTATTTCTCTGACCGGTGAGGAATATTTGCAGTATATGAGATAATTTACACAGTGCTTCTACTTCTTTGTCTGAATCCAAACTTCTTTTCTGTCACTATTGCCTGTTACCTAGAAAGTGAAGTAAATAACTCTCTTCTCAGCAATCAAATGGAAAGTCAAGGACTATGCCCAGAGGTCTTTTTTCATAAAAAAGAAAATAATGAATTTCAACCTGAAAAGGATCAAGTTCATAAAGACTAATGGTAATCTAAGATCTGTTTGGACTAATATGATTATCAGAGAGAGGCAATTTTCTCTATGAGTAAAGACATTTTCCCCCTAATTGAGGTCAAAACTTTTCTTGCCTCATCTTTTTTTTAAAATATGTATTTTTTTATTGATTTCAGAGAGGAAAAGAGAGGAGAGAGGTAGAAACATCAATGATGAGAGAGAATCATTGATCAGCTGGCTCCTGCATGCCCCACACTGGGAATTAAGCCTGTAACCTGGGCATGTACCCTGACCGGGAATCAACCGTGACCACCTGGTTCATAGGTCAACATTCAACCACTGAGCCACACCGGCCGGGCTCTTGTCTCATTTAGTTTTCTTTGCCACCATACTTTCACTATCTCTGTGATCTTTTCATGAGAAATAATTATTAAAATATAGTCAATTTATTACCCCTTTACTTATATCACAGAGATTGTGCTTTTCTTCACTAATTAACACATTGTACAATTTATAAAATATGCCCAAATATATTAAGTTCATTCATTGCAATCATACAGTAATCAGTCACTTTATTTTCATATTATCTGATGCTATTACTTTACTCTTTATTAAATTTACATCATCCACACTTCTTTTCTCTTTCTTGTGTTCTTTCATTATTTTTCCTCTATCACTCTCTGCTACATTTATTTGTAACAGAGTGAAAACTACTGTGCCAGGATCCTTCCCCCAAGAAAACTAATCATCAACACAATAAATGAGTTTGACATACTGTGCCAAAGGTCCGATCTTGCCATTTCCTGACTTACCACTAGGAGGGCGGATGACTAGACAAGTCTAGCCTCATTCCTGTGGCAACTTCTAGGAAAGCAGCACAATAGGAAACTTTTCCTACCCAGCTGTAGTCTAATGTATCCCAGGTGACACAAATGGAATACATTATTGGTCATTATTGGTCACAGGTATCTAAGGACAATTGTGCCATACTATATAATAAAGAGAGAATATGCAAATTGACCATCACTCTACCACAAAGATGACGGCACCCACAGCAGAGGCCAGAGGGTTTCCATAATACAAGATGGCTGAGCCCACAGCAGAGGTAGGGTTTCCATAACACAAGACGGCTGCACCCACAGCGGAGGCCAAGTTCCCGTAATGAGCCTTAACAAGCAATCAGCAGGGACCTGAGAGGCTGCACCCCACCGCCCCCGTGGGGCCTGACAGGGGACCTCAGGCTATGCCCCCGACCCGGCAGAGCTTGACGGGGGACCTGAAGCTGTACCTCTCTCCCAGTGGTGCTTAATGAGGGACCCGAGGCTGTGCTCCCTTCCCGGCGCTGGGATGGGGGACCTCAGGCCACACCCCCCCCCAGCGGGGCTTGACAGGGGATCTCTGGTCGCATCCCCCACCCGGCAGGGCTTGATGGGGGACCTCAAGGTGCGCCCCCCGCCCTGGCCCAGGCTGGGGACCTCAGGCTGCGCCCCCCGCCCCAGTGCCAGGCCAGGGGACCTGAGGCTGCGCCCCCCGCCCCAGTGCCAGGCCAGGGGACCTGAGGCTGCGCCCCCTGCCCAGCAGGGCTTGACAAGGGTGGGACTGGCCAGGTCTGGATCTAGCCCAATGCAGGGGGCTGGCTGGGTCTGGGTTTCGTGCAATTTTGAGGCGCATGTGGTTGGGTGGGGACTTGACTCTGGGCTCTGTGGTGCACCCCAGATTCTGACAGGAGGAAGATTTTCATATACATTTTACTAATTTTCTTTCATCTCTGACACTTCTATTATAGAGAAAGGGCAACTAGCAATATTAAAATATTTCCTCTAATTAATCCCCTTTTAATGTTCATGAATTTTGTGCACCAGGCCATTAGTATTTATAGAAAATGTCTCCAAATGATGCGTGGAAGATTTTCAAATAAAATAGCATTTTAAAATTAAGAAAATGGCCTGGTTGGTGTCGTTCAGTGGTTGAGCATCGACCTATGAGCCAGGAGGTCACAGTTTGATTCCAGTCAGGACACATACCCAGGTTGTGGGCTCAATCCCTAGCAGAGGGCATGCAGGAGGTAGCCGATCAATGATTCTCTGTCGTCATTGATGTTTCTATCTCTCTTTCCCTCTCCCTTCCTCTCTGAAATCAATAAAAATCTATGAAAGATAAATAAAAATAAAGAGAATGTTGTTAAAAACATCTCTATCTCACATATAAAATATTTTGTTTTAATGATTTTTAGCTGATGATCATGCAATTTCCTAGATTTTTATCCATTACATCCTACTTTTTTTAAAATATATTTTTATCTATTTCAGACAGGAAGGGAGAGGGAGAGAGAGAGAGAGAGAGAGAAAAACATCAATGATGAGAGAAAATCATTGGTCAGCTGCCTCCTGCATGTCCTACACTGGAGATCCAGCCCACAACCTGGGCAGGGTCAAACTGTGACCTCCTGGTTCATAAGTTGACACTAAACCACTGAGCAATGCTGGCCAGGGTCATTACATCCTTTTAATCTTGCTTTCAAGGAGACTAACTGTGCCTAATTCATTCACTCACTTCGTATGTCATTATAGTTATCTTAGATATTTTTAATTGAAATGGGTCTTAGAGTCTTTTTTGAAATATAAACACTTGGTTATATCACCTAATTTCAGTATTCCAACGATGAGCTGTCAGGTCTTTCCATGGAATGGACAGCAGAAAGAAATAAAGGGAGACAGCAATAGTGAATGAAGCAAGGCACCGCCCCCACTGTTTTCAACCCCCTTTACCCCAACAAATTATGCTTTTTTAGATTTTACAGATCTAAACAGTCATACATTATTTCCTTTAAAAATGTCAAAAGACTAATTGTTTTAAAATTTTAATTTCCTCTGGAAAAGTGATATATAATATTTATAACCTCCCCCAGTTTTAGATTTCAGATATACCTTATTTTTAATTCCATTGCACTTTTGCACACACAGGTGTATTTTTTTTCCTGTGGGTGGGCTGATTTATGTCCTGACATATCAGTTGGGATATCCTTACCAACATTTCTAGACCAAACTAGAATTACAGTTTCTTCTGGTGTTGAAAATAAAATATGCCTAACCGGTTTGGCTCAGTGGATAGAGCGTCAGCCTGCGGAATGAAAGGTCCCAGGTTCGATTCCGGTCAAGGGCATGTACCCTGGTTGCAGGCACTTCCCCAGTAGGAGGTGTGCAGGAGGCAGCTGATAGATGTTTCTAACTCTCTATCTCTCTCCCTTTCTCTCTGTAAAAAATCAATAAAATATATATTTTTTTAAAAAGAAAATGTGTGAATTATTCACTTTTATTAACTTTTTATGATGTTTAAAATACAGTTTACCTAACAGTTGTAGAATGTTATTTATGTCTTTAGAGGTTATTCATTTCATCAAGTTTGGGAAAGTTTAATGTAATCTCTGTGCTTTATGGTCCCCAGAGGTTTTATACAAGTTTCCATTCATCACACATATGTGGGGTTATTTCTCTTATTGGTTGTATTCCGGTATTTTAAGGTGATGTTTTTTTCTTAAATGTACTTAGGGTCATTTTTCTTTATGTTTACATTTTCTTATTTGTATTTATTCCAATTAGAGAGTTTAATTATCATTAGAATGGTAATAGGATAAAGATAAGTTTTAAAAATGACAGTATTAAAAAACTAACTCTTTAGGAAGGTTTAAATTCTGTAAGAATATAAAGCAAGAAATATATGCTTGTCAAATATACAGTATAAATAAATAATTTAGATGAAAATGGTTGACTACATTTAACAAAGAGACTACCAAATAATGACGGGCTAAAGAGTGGTTGTTAGATTTGATGTACTTCATTGTATATTGTAAGTAATTGCTATCCATAAAAATTCTATGGCTTCTGTATAAGAAAAAGAGACACTTTGACAGGCAACACTGGTATGAAGCGACA